CAAACGCATCATTTATTCACCATTAGTCAGACTTATTAATGGAAAAATTGGAGATGAGCTCCGTTCTGGGGAGTGCAGGTCATGCAGCCCGGTTTGCTCCTGACCAGTCACCAGAATATGATGAATCAGCCATGACAGCACGCTGGAAATGCAATAAAAAAATTCAAAAAGGGATATGGTTAGCCACAGCCATCCATGCAGACAAGATTACAAAGCAGGTTTCATGGGATTTGAATTAATAAAATCAATTGGTGTACAAAAAATGATCTCATTGCTATTATGTTACCATGAATTTCTGACTCGTTTCTAACTTGGCAAAGGTGATGTTTTGAATACTTGTTAGAAATGTTTTTCTCATAAATTAGTTCGTTCCCTTAACGAGAGGAAACATTTTTTAGGTTGTGTGAGTCCAACTCTCAGTCCTTAATTCCTCTATTCGCTGTTTACAACAGCAAGATTTTTGTTTTAGGTCCTTTAGGTCAAATTAGTTTTTCGTCCTTGAGTTTCAAATCAAATGAATTCCTCAGAGCTCTAATTGGAGTATTTTCTTCTGTCAGTTGCCAGGTGTTTTCTATCATGTCAGATAATGACATTTATTCTAAGTTATTTTTTGCTTTATTAATGGAAAAACACAAATCTATTAACCAGCTAGCTAGACTTTTTATTCTTGGTATGAATAACCATTTTAATGCTCCAACTGGGGGCAAAAATCCCATTTAGTTTCTGAAAGGGACAAAAACAGGATTGAAGAAAAAAAAAAAAGGTTCTCTTACTTCCTTTTTCTGTTCCTCTTTGACCTGGCTTGTAGGGTTGAGCTCTTAACATGGGGGGGGGCAGCTTTGTGGAAGCGGGGGCCATGTTTTCTATGTTTCCCTCCAGGATTTCCCCCTATGACTCCCATAGTGTCACAGCATTTGGCTCTCAGGAAATAACTCTCGACTCCCCTCTCCTGGTACACAATAGCACATGGACTGGTTTAAAACCTTTAAATGAGCGTCACGTTCTGTTGCATTTTTTTCTGTACATTTATCAAACAAAGCTTATTAACAAAGACAGGATGAGATGTACACCACACTCACCACTTTAGTTCTAATCCTCCCAACAACAGAGTTTCTGATGTGTGTAATTATAGTTTTGCACTTTTCAGAGTCTAACAAACATATGTACAACTACAAACACTGTAAATGGAGTCAAATGTGTAATAGTTATGGTAGCATGAGTCATTTTGAATGTGTGAAGCATGAAGAGTTTTGGTAGCTGAGGAGCATTTTGCAGCGAACGGTAACCTGAGTGTTCAGATATGACCCAGATACTGTAATGAAATCACTTCCCCCTTATTTTGTTATCCATGACATAATGTCCCAGTGATGGAACTCAGTTCCTAGAGGAAATTTGGTTTAATTCATGTCTTGCCTGAACTGGTCAAAATCCTCTGAGCTGCATTCTTCTCTCATGTTATGAAAACCTTTATATTTCACTCTGTGTATAAGAAAAAAAAAGGTTATGTGATAAACCAGGCTTAGTTAACCTACAACAGGAAGTGGTAAACATGCTAACAGATACACCTGCAGGTATAATTTTTTAACTATTTCTTTTTACAAAGGTTTACAAAAGGGGTTTCAAACTGGACTCGCTCTTCAGATGCCAGTTACTTTTAATATCACATGCAAGGCCATTTTGGACTCTATTGCTCCATTCAAGTCAAAGCGCACTAAAACGTCCTCTCAACCATGGTTAAATAACTCCACCCGCACGCTCAGACGTTCATGTCGACGTGCAGAAAGGAAGTGGAAAAAGGATAAGCTCAAGTTTTGTTTAGTACTTTTAACTCTCTTGTAAATCCCTACGAAAACTCTCCTCTAGTGCCATCACAAATTCTATGTACAGTAATAGCTTCCTAAAATTCTTTATTGATAAAATCTCTGCCCTTAGATCAGCTCTTCCCACTCCTTCTGTCCCGGGCGCTGACCCCACTGCTCCTCCTCTGCCTGCTGCCCTCGGTCAGTTTGAGCCAGTATCTCTCTCCATCCTCTCAGATGTGGTCAAGCAGCTGCGGCCCACAAACTGTCCCTCTGACATCATCCCATCCCGTCTCTTTAAAGATGTATTTAGTACTGCGGGGCCTATTGTTCTTGCTATTGTCAACTCCAGTCTTAGTTCTGGACTTGTTCCAGCTGCCCTGAAACATGCTGTTGTCCAGCCCCTTTCTTAAAAAGAAAAATCTAGACCCCTCAGTCCTGTCCAATTTCAGACCAATTTCCAAACTACCATTTCTGTCAAAGGTCTTAGAAAAAGTCATTTTTAACCAACTACAGTCTTTCCTTCTCGCCAATGGCATCCATGAGAAGTTTCAATCTGGTTTCAAACCATTTCACAGCACTGAAACAGCATTATTGAGAGTCCTAAATGACCTATTTTTAATTATCGATTCTGGAAACCTTGCTGTCCTGGTTCTCCTCGACCTGACAGCTACTTTTGACACTGTGCATAACAGGATTTTATTATCCCGACTAGAACATAGTGTTGGAATCACAGGCTCTGCACTCCTATGGTTTAAATCCTACCTGACTGATCGCAGTTTCTCAGTCCACCTAAAGGAATTCACCTCAGACACAGCCCCTCTTACATCTGGAGTACCCCAAGGGTCCATTCTTGGCCCAATCCTCTTTCTAATTTATATACTTCCACTGGGCTCAATTTTCAGGAGACATAATATCGCTTTCCAGTGTTATGCAGATGATGTACAGATTTTTTTTGCCTTTGAAGTCTAGCTGTGGGGATTCTGCACAACCACTGCTGGAGTGCCTAAAAGATGTCAAAGCTTGGATGGAAAAGAACTTCCTCAACCTCAATGAAAATAAGACTGAAATTATTATGTTTGGATGTAACCCCTCAAATTTTCCTGTTCCATTCAGCTCCCTCAGTCCCAACATTAGGCCTACCGTCAGAAACCTCGGTGTAACCCTTGACAGCGCCTTTAAATTTGATGCACAGGTCTATTCAGTTATAAAAAACAGTTTTTTCCAATTAAGACTTCTGGCAAAGATAAAAGGCTATCTATCTCCCACCGACCTGGAACAAGTAACTCATGCTTTCATCACATCATGCCTAGATTATTGCAATTCTCTGTATGTTGGTATTGACCAGTCACTGCTCCATCGTCTACAACTCATACAGAATTCAGCTGCCCGTCTCCTCACTGGAACACGTAAGCGTGACCATATTTCCCCAATTCTGGCAGTGCAATTCAGAATTGCTTTTAAAATGTTACTAATAGTATTTAAAGCCTTACATGGGCTGGCGCCAAAATACCTGTCTGACCTTCTGCACTCTTATGATCCCGTAAAAACTTTGAGATCAGCCAGTCAACGGCTGCTGGTGGTCCCGCAAACCAGGCTGAGGACTAAAGGCGATCGAGCCTTTAGTGTGGTCCCAAAGCTCTGGAATAGCCTGCCTTTTAATATAAGAGCTGCCCAGACCACAGAGGTGTTTAAGTCCTGTTTAAAAACCCATTTATTCGACATGGCTTTTAACATTTTAACCTTAGGTTGAGGTAGAGCACCTTTTTACCTTTTTATTTTATTTTATATTTTTATTTATTCATTTATTTTTACATTAAAATCACGTATACATGCTTTTTATGTACAGCACTTTGGCAACCTTGGTTATTTTAAATGTGCTATATAAATAAAGTTTGACTTGACTTGACTAATCTTTTTTGTTTCATTTTTCTCTAAGTGGTGTAATGCAATTGTGACCTTATAGAAGGAAAACTGAAGGCTTACAAAAACTATGTAGTTTCTGTGTAAACCTGGGGGATATTCGAAGAATCTGGTTCTAAAGCAGGCTGAGTTAACCCTGTGGTATAAGTAAAGCATCTAATAGCAGGAGTCCTAATTTGAACTAAATGATACCTGCAGGTGTATCTATTAGCATGTTTACCACTTCCTGTGGGTTAACTAAAACTGGTTTATCACTTAACCGTGTTTTTAGTACACACCCCCTGCTCTAAGTTCTTCCTGCACTTGGTTGTGTGTGTTATTTTAAGTGAATTTGAACTTCGAAGTTTACAAAAATATAAAAAATGTCATTCAAACTGCATTTGCCTCGTTTTACTTTTTACTTACGTTACTTGAGTACGTCTATTTTTACAGTAATTTTAATGCTTAAGTACAAAACATTTCCTTAATTTTAAAACTTTAACTCAAGTAACATTACAGCCTGTGACTTGGACTTTTACCAAAGTCATATTTTGGAGAGGTACTAATACTTTTACTTGACTCTGAGATTTCAGTACTTTATGCAACACTGCTCACCACACACAGTGGTAATACTCCACTGTCACCTACTGTAGTAGATGTGTAATTACATTTCATTCTTGCAACTCAAAAAAAAAAAAAAAAAGAGGGCCCATAGAAAGCTATTATTTGCAGGGAAATCCTCAATTCAATTTCCAGGCAAAAATTCTGAAAATACCTTTTTGGCTCAACATGAGAAGCCACCGTACAAAACTCCTGTGAAGATCACCTCAGGCCATAAAAACCTGCAACTATCCCCCAGGAACTTTTAACCAAAGCAATAGTTCTGCATACAGGGGTGAACTTAGAGCAGGTTCTTTCTGTTTTGTCAGCTAAACAAGTCTCTAATTCGCAGGAAAAAAAAAAACTGACGCAACAGCTGAATCAAATCTTTAGTGGAACCGACCACCAGACCACTCAAAGTGACCGATGGGGGCCAGTTAGAGGTCAGGACATTATTTTATTGGCAATATCATAGCCCTCTAAACAAATGCACAGAGAAAGAAATCAAGTGGCCTAATGGCAGCAGCTATCTTTTCCTTCTTTAGGATGCTTTCCCAGAGCATCCCGGCCTGCTCTGAACGGGGAGTTTGAGTTCCGGCTGACCGCTGTTGATATTTTCTACATGACTAGTCCACAGGAATGTTTGGCCGAGCCGCCGTGTCCAAGCCTCGGTTAGTTTAACTTAAATGGTTAACTGTTCTCAAGCAGGACTGTGAGTCAGTTTCAATCAAAAGCGCTGTGCAAGCAGGTTTTCAGAATAAAGGAATTTAAGGCTTTATATTGAAACATACCATTTTTATTGTTGATCGTAAAATAGTGGAATGTCTTACAAAGACTTATTGCTATAAATACAGCTTAGAAAAAAAAACGTTTGGTCTGGACATTGGCTCAAGTTTAATCATATGGAATATATGGGCTGCAGTCATCAGTATTTACATATCTGATCAGTTACAGAGTAAAAATCTAGTTATTAGCCAAAAGGAAACATAAGAGGAATTGTAGCACGATTAAAACTGGCTTATAGAACCAATACAGAGAAATAGCTGAAGAGGTGGTAAAATCAGCTCACTGTTGGAGACTTCTTGAAGGATTAACCTTCACATAAAAGGAAATTCAAAATAATACAATGTACTATTTTCATGTGTTCGACTTCATGACAGTTTAACATGATCACTAATTTAATATTACATCGATACTTAAAAAAAAAAAAAGAAGTTAATATTGACAATGATGCTTTCAAATGAGCTATTTCTTCATCTGGTTCTAGTCTACTACAACCTCTAAAGACCTTTGCTGTTCAGAGTCCAGTCGAAGAAGACCAGCCAGACACAGACGTCTTCTACGTTTCGAGGGATTAAAAACGACTACTGGGACGCAAAAGGCTTGCTCTGTTGAGTGGTGGGTAGAATATGCGTAATACTGCCCTGGGGGTGGAGGTGTCCACTAGTAGTCGATGCTCTGGTCGTGGTAGGGGGAGTCGTAGTCTTTGTGGTAGCCTCCGTGGAACTCGTCCTCGGTGAACTCGGCCTGAAAGTCACAGTCGCTGATGTCGGAGCCGTTGGTGCCGGTGCCCTGGCTGCCGTTGGTGTGGACGAGGGGCTCGGTGGGGGGGGCGCAGTACTTGGGGTCGTAGACCTGCCGGCCCAGGCCGTACACGCTCATGCCCGTCTGGGACGCCACCTTGTTGGTGCCCATCTGCAGGGAGATGGTGGAGTTGTCCAGGGCCTGCAGCGCCACCTTCTGGTCGAAGATGTCCCGCCGGGTCCCGGGGGCCGACATGCCCGCCTGCAACACACCACACCACATCTGACCCACTGACCTGGCATCTGGTCACTTTGCAAAAAAACTACAACTAAACTACCACGTCTTTTCCACTCAACAAATGGTAAACCAAAACATCCATCCATTCATGCATCCATTCATTCTACCCCAGGACAGAGGCTGGGGGCCTCCGGGATAGGTCGCCACAACCACACACACACACCACTGTGTGTAAACCAGTGGTTCTATTCCTGGTGATTCCTAGAAATCTCTCTGCCTGATAAAGATCCGTCTTTAAAATTCATTAAAGCCTCTTGGATACGCGTCTTGTTTTTCCTCTGGTGAAGACAGTTGTCCCTCTTTTATGCTCAAAGTTAGCGACTGCCCACTAGCAAACGCCGCCCACTCTGTTCCTCCAAGGAGACCCAGCTAACCGGGCCAGCGCCCCCTACAGGTCAAGCTGGACTCTCCACAGGTGGAGCGACCACGAGCCCCATCAGAGCATCAGATTCTCTTCCCTCCTCCAAGAAATCTTTGAAGACCCAGCTCTTCCAGAGTTTCTCTAAAGCTCTAAATGCTCATTTCCTGATAGCATGTAGCATCAATGTGTGGTACTTGTGTAACCTATGTCATAGTTAAATGATAAACCCCTAATGTTAAACACTCTTTTAGAATATTGCTCTCAAGGTAAGCCAAGAGTGGAACAGGAGACGGAGCTGAATGTTAAAGCCTCTTTTTGTGAGTCTCTTTGGATAAAAGCGTCTGCTAAATACAGAAATGTAAATGTGGCAAGACTGCAACTTTCAACAACATGCTAAAATCTGTTTCCTGATTATCCGATTAAAGTTCATGTAAACTACACAGATGTTGTGAAGCTTTTCTGTCAGGGACCTCAAACAGACAGACGGCACTTTGCAGTGAAAAACGCAGCTGAAGTCTCTGCTATTCAAACAGTTTAAATAAATACACAAATCAAAATAGGAAACACTTTAATGAATGCATGATGTGGATCGTTTTGGTACATTGGGAGGAATGTAGGCATAGACGCTGAATACAAACTCCAGTAGGTTATTTGTCATTAGTCTTATGTCCAATCAGATCTGCTTTAAAACAGCCAAGAAAACATCTCCATTCCATCAGCCTGTGCTTGACCACAAGGATTTCGCAGAACACCGGTTTTCTTGGCTTTTATCTCTCTTTCCGGGTAAATGAACTAAAAAAAGACAAGTCTTTTACCTGACTGGCTCCTTTGTTGGTTCCCATCTGCAGGCTGATGGTGGTCTGGTCATAGGGTTTGTCGGTCTGAGTCTTTGGATCGTATAGATGTCTCCTGGTCCCGTACGCCGTCATTCCAGCCTGACTGGCACACTTGTTTGTTCCCATCTGAGAACAAAAGGCAAATTCGATTTAACCCCCCCCCCTCTGAAGTAATCCAAGAGGTGGATGCAGTATTGATTTTAAAAGAAAAGCTACTTATCCTAATTGTTATTCAATTACGAGTACAATGATCTAATCAATATTAGCCCCTTAACTAGAACAAATTCAATGGCAGATTAACAACAGTACATCATCAGCACTCAGTAAACTGTAACCCATGAAGAAAAACTAAACCAAAACATTAAGGACCAGATATCCACACAGATCCATAATTACAGCAGGTTACCTCAAACCCAATATTTGTTTAGACAAAATGACAAAAGGTGAAAGAATCTCGGGAAAAAAACTAAACAACAAAACTAAAATCAATTGCTGCTGCCCACCAGAGCTCGAGAGATATTTTCCAAAAATAGATGATGTAGAACTGGAAAACATTCACTGCGGAGGGTTCACTCAAAGACCAGATTAGTAAACCTTAAAGTTCAGTAAAAAGTCCTCATGACAGATTAAACTGCAGCGGAGGCAACAGAAAGGCTTCTGTAGCGATTTGTGGGTGGAAGGAGGAGAGAAATGAGAGAATGGGGTTGTTATGATGCCACAGGAGCTGTGGAATTAGGTAAATGTCAGTCAATTAGCCCAATACCTCTAAAATAAATGAATGAGTTAAAGAGAAGCTGGGACCTAAAGCAACCTGAAGAGCTCTGTGCAGAAACACACTCCCACAAACCTTAAAGAACTAAAGAAACATTAAGAGTGGCTCCACAACCCTCAGAAAGATACACAATATCACACAGAAATCATGATAACAATCATGATGTGCAGTTTTTCTGATTGAATACAGTTCATCTCCACTTTGGATTAGTCTTTGTGAAATAAATTATGTTTCATGTGCTAATAGAAGTTTTATACTCATTTTAAGACCAAATAAAAACCGTTTCTTCTCAATAAGTATATCGTTTTGTCCTTTTTCATCCCTTTTAAATGCTAGTTACCCTGAATATACCTCAACCTTGAGTCCTTTTTTAAAACTGCAAAATAAGAACTTATTTCTAGCCGTTTCATTGCACATTTCTTTGATAATCCATAGATTTTGAACTAAAATCTAGATTAAAATGCTTCATTTAAACAAACATACACAACACAAAACCCCGCTTAAAATCACAGAAGTGAAGTCACCTGTAATCCAATCACGCACTGCCCAGCCTTGATCTTCTCTTCATCAAAATGTCGAGCTTGCTTGTCTGCGTATTTCACGCCGATATCGATCTTTGTGTCCATTCCTTTAGTCTTTGCCTAACGGAGAGGACACGGTCAGCAAACTTGTGCAACACTATTTTTCTACACAAACCTCAGCGTGTGCTCCTCGTTGCACAACTCACCATACTAGCCAGTGCGAGCAGCGTGGTCTGGACCTGTGTCATATTCCCGTTTTCAAACAGGTCGTTGGCCTCGAAGATGTCACTGGGCTTTAGGCCGTAGGCCAGGATGGCCTTTATGAAATTCCCAAGGTTTTCCAGCTGCCGAGTCCAGCATGTGGAACAGTAACACGGAGAACACACGGGAGAGGACTGAAGTTAGCAAAAACTTCAACGAACTTTGTGTGTTTTTCTCTTCTTAAACCACTGTCCAAGTCCTAAATTCTGACTGGAAAAAACATCTGTAAAGTATTACCTTGTGCCAGTTCAGCTGTGAGAGGTTGATTTTCTTTACAGAGCCAGGCTGCAGCTTGTTGATCAGACTAAACCAAACCAGAAACACAGCATTGTTAATCTGTTTCTTGTTGAATTCAAAGTGACCGGAATGCAGGCGTCTCATGGCTGTGCTGTGAGTTAGTCTAAACAACTAGACTTATGGAACATAACCTGATGGGAACATGCAGATGTAGCTCCTCATAACCGGGTTTTGGCTCACTGTCTTTTGAGTTTTTATTATTTGACCACACAGCAGAAGAACTAAAGTCTTAGTAAGTTTCTATGAGAGAATGTTGTGACAAAATTCAAATCATTTTCAAACAACACCTCAAAGGGCCGCTACTTAAACTTGAATATTTCAATTACACAAATGTACATATAATAAATCAGTAAAAAAAAGCACAAAAAAAAAAGCTTCAGACCCACACAGACACACAACCCTTGTTTCTTTGGCGTTTAGCTTCCTTTGGCTAATTCATGTCATCACGATTACTGTTACTATCATGATTTGCTTTTAATGACATTTGAACCATGTGAGATTCTATTAATAAACAACATTAAGTTATGGTTAGCGGTTCTTGTGCACTTACCAGATAATCTGGTCATTTGTGCAATTTCAGAATTATCTGCATTTATTCATCAGCATCTGGACTTTTCCCCCCATATGTGCATGCCACACACCCCAATACACACAAGCCCAGTTAGTAAAATAGACAAATGACATTACACAAACATGGTTCCTGTGAAAAAAAATATATATATACATACTGTATATATATTTACGTATCAGCTAGTATCTAAAATGTATACATCCATGTTACCCACTGCCATCGCCCAGCTTATTTTGCTTTTCAAAAATATTATAAGTATTTTTCTTTTCCTCTTTATTTAATATTTTGTACTCTCTGTTGCCCCGTTTGCACCATTTAGTCCTTTACTGTGTCCTTCTGTGTGCACCACTGAGCAACATTGTTTCTCTTCACTACGTCCCAACCAAGTATATATGGCTGGTATGAAAATATAAACGTAACAAAATCAAACAAGGAAACGGAAACAAAACAAAAACAAAAAAAGAACACACAAACAACTTACTCGCAGAGAATGACGCCATCCTTTAAACCTTTCTGGAAGTTCTCTCCAATAGACATCCCCGTGACCTCCTCGATCCAGAAGCGGAGCTCGTCCTCCTTTTGTGGGTCGTATTTTTGGGCAATCTGAAAGATATAAACATTGTGGCATTGAGGCATTATGTTTTTTTTAAAAACCCCAAATCAAGAGAATCATCATCTTTTGTTAAATCAACTTTGCTGGAATTAAGGAAGCAACCTATCATAAGCACGATATCAACCTAATATTTCCTGGAACGCTGCCGTTGTCATGGTGATCAGTACTGATGTAAAATGTGCCCTTAAGAAACAATGTTTAGTCATTCCGGGATCCCACTAAAAACACCAGAAATCCAGATTATGATCACGCAGCTTCACATAAAGACCCACAAAGCAGCAGGACAGAAGTTGTCTTTGGTCCGAGCGGCCTTTGAATGCGTCGCCATGTTCAGGTTTGGCTTTGTTCCTTTTGCTGGCTGGACATTAGCTACTCCCACAGTCTCCAGTGGAACTGCTCAGTTTGGGTTTGGTTTGCATTTTTAAAAGAAATGAACAGAAAACTGTGGGTTTGAATCCTGATTTACAGTTAATGAGTCAACGCACCGGTGGACTCGTCACTCAATATGGGAGTTAAACCACCAACCATCTGACTGCCAGACGACTGTGGTTCCTCCTGAGTCACAGCGGATAACAAAAAGAAAAAAGTAAAGAAAAAGTAAAGAAAAAAAAACAAATTTTTGACTAAAGAAAAAACAAGATATGATGAAGACAAGAATCTGATCAAATCAGGAGCATAGTGACAAATATACCTGTGAAGTCTTGTTTGTTTCTTCAAACCATTTAACCAAATAAAGATTAGAATAAATAGAAATAAGGGAATATGTGAGGGAGCCAAACCAATTCCTGGTCAGCAATTCAGGCTTAAACTGTCCTCATAGACACATCTGTGTTAGTGTTTGCTTTAGTCAGATCGATGCAGAACGCTGTAAAAACCACCATGGAACCCAATCTGGTTACACCAACGTCTGTTAGACGCAGAGCCCTGCTGGATCGGGCCTTTTCAGGAAGAGAAAAATCAATCAGTTATAACCGGTCGCCCATTCCTCGCCTTTATGTTCTGCTTTAAATCACAGAGTCAAACGCCAACGTGTTTAAAAAGCCTGACGGAAACCACGGTGCCGTTTGAACAAAGCAAAACCCTGGACAACCTGCGCAAACGCACAAAAAAATGCACACAACATCCAGTTAATGCTACTGAGCTCTTTAAATGGGAATTCCAGAGACTGAGCAAAAAAGATAGAACTACTGGCATCAAACAATGATCTGCATTAACTTATCACATAAAAATTCAAAAAGGAATAACAGAGTAATTAGTGGAGAAAAATATGGACAGTAGTTAATTATTTAGCCAACATGAGAAGATTCTCACCTAGTGAGCAAAACAGTTAGTGGTCAAAATTTAAATAAAGTAGAATTTAATATGTTTAATATTTAAAAAATCAAAATAAATAAACACCCTCAGAATGAGCAGCCATTACTTCTTCGCTTACTCAATTAAATTTTTTTTTTTATTTCAAAATGTTAAAGTGACTTTTTGGCATATAACCAACCATAACTTTTATTTGCTTTTTTTTTTTTTTAATCAACCGTTTTAATTTTTGAGCCGCTGTGTGTTCGGGGACCTGTTATGCGTGAGTGCATTGGGTTGTTTCTGTTTTCACAACACACAACTCCAGGAGAAGGAATCCAGTCGAACTGGACGAAGCGGGTATGAACACATGAATGAATGCGTCGGCGTTCTGCAGAATGACTTCATCCGCAGCCTGTTTCTTCTTCTTCTAAGAAATAAGTGTGGCAGAACCTGTTTGCCCCGTTGGAGTTGTCAACTTTGATAAAAACACACACAAAAAAACAAAAAAAAGACAAACAGGATGTTCATGGGAAAGAGCTCTCTGTCACTCGTCCAGTGACAGAGTCAGACTTTCAGTAAACACTTCACCAGAAAGCGTTCATCCCACCCCGGACGGGTCGCCGGTCCATCGCAGGAACACACACACACACACACACACACACTCACATTTACACACACTCCTAGAGTCTGTTTGGAGAGACCAGTTAACCCAACATGCGTGTTTTTTGGGCGGTGGGAGGATGGAAAACCACATGAGGACTCGGACTTGAACCGGGGGGGATGCGGTGAGGGTGACGATGCTAACCACCACATCACTGTAACCCCCCCCCCCCCCCCCCCACACCAGAAACCAAACGCAGGGGAAATGACTCTTGGTTTTACAAGAAAAAAAAAACTGTCAATAAAAATTCCCCAATTGTCGTTTTCTTGATTTTAATATCTTTGAAGTGACAGAGATTTAAAAAAAATTATATAAAAGCTGTATTTTACGACAGAGTCTTAGGGACACATTTACATTTTTTTCTTCTGGAATTATTTACATGATTAAAGTCGTTATTAAATATGTTGAGATTAAACCCCCTCCGATAACCCTGCATTCCACCACTTCCAGCCTTTTCCCCCACAGAAGCAGCAATTTCCTCCAAGTCCGCCTGGTTCTTTCTGTGGAAAAGGTGTATTTTCTTGCCTGTTCTTTTTAACGTCTGGAAGCTGATGTGCCAGAAGATTAAGAATCTCCTGGTTTGTGAAACCTGTTCTTAAGCACATTTCCATGAATTCCATGCTCCACTGGCAGGGTAAATATCTTATCCTGTGTTAGAAGACAAGAGTTGATAAAATGATATCAACTCATGTCTTCCAACACAGGATATAATATTTACAACCTTAGTCTAGTAATTTATTCTCACCATAATAAATAACATTTTTTAATATTGTAATTAATTCTCACCATATTTAATAACGACTTTAATCTCGTAATTAAGTCCCCAAACAAAAGTTTTAATGTGGCCCTAATTACTCTGTCGCGTTACATTTTTAGATTATTTTGAGAGAATGAACGGATGACCTGTGTTCAGATTATGCAGCAGCGGTTTAAAACAGCAGCATCTGAAATATTTGGTTTAAAAGATTTGAAGCAGATAAATAAATAACAATTGGTCCCGTGATGTTGTGACACTTGGAAAAAACAAACAAACACAGAATGAACAGGATATGAACCTTTACAGATGATTTGCCAAACATGAGCACACGGATGGAGAACTGACCTGGCCCTGGCACTTTGTTTGTTCTGCTCTTTACAGGCTTCTCTCCTCCTCTGCACTCATATAGGTCACCAAACTACAAAAGCCACAACCACCATTCACACTCACTCCAGAGATGAATAGAGAACAATCTGAAGCCTCCAATTATGCTAGCATGCCGGTTTTTGGATGGTGGGAGAAACCTAGAGAGCCTCCGCATTATGGTGAGTAAACTCTACACAGAAAGTCGCCCCCCCCCCGGCTGGGATTTGGATGGGAAATGTTCTCACTGTGAGGGGACACCACAATGCAATCCGCACTCTTTCCTAAAAGGTGTTTTTCTTGTTCACGCAAGTCTGAATCCAACAATATCCAGCAGTCACTGATTCATGAGCATCGATTATAAAACTTTGGCCATACAGGATGGAATTGATTTGTTTGTTTTTTAAATGTCTGCCAATCGAGCAGAGCTAAAGGTGAGTGGATTTGGCTGCCAGAATCCTCAGAAACACTGAAGAATCTCAGAAATGTGATGAATGCAGCTGCAGAAAGAGTGTCGACTCACACTTTGAGGGGACCAGAACATCTGGATATCCAAATAGTCCTTTAGCAACATTACACATACCACAAATTACATCTGAAGGTCCTTCAACGGCTCATCCTGAGCCGCCTGAAGAGCTAAATATCCTTAGTTGTACTGAAAGAGATGTTAGGTTCAACTGCTTTCATAAGCACATGAATGTTGGAATCAAAGTTGTAATGCTGGAATCGCACTTCGGGCGTAACCGCTTTTTTCTCATCACCAAACAAACAAACCAGCCACTAAATTATTAAAATAAACCCCAATGTAAAGATTGAGTTTCAAAATGAAGAGCTGTTCTGAACCCAACAGGCTCTGAGAGGGAAAACAGATCATACCATGTATAAAAGGGAAATGAAAAGCCAACTCATTCCTTTGGAATTTCATTTTAATAGAAGCCGATTCTGAAGATCTCAAAGGAAGTGCTTAAACCGATGGCTAAGTTTTATCCTCGAAAACAAAAACGGGCTAATAAAACGGAACCTATGGCAGAGCGCATGTTATCATTATTCAAATAGGCCATCATTTTTATTAGAAACAGAATGGGAGAGTAAAGATTGAGCTCTCCTTAAAGGCAGTTCTTCTTTCAGAAGTTCAGATGAGCCACTTCCTGTTAGGAGAGGATTTTCCATCATGACCTTTCGCATGCTCGAGTTTTACTCGGGATAACCACAAACAGACCGCTCCACTGAGGAGGCCTGTCTGTGATCCAGCCTTACTTCTATCTCAGGGTAACTTTTAATAGTTTGATAATTTGATGCTGCTGTGAATGCAGTCACAGCTCTGGACAGCAGAAATAGCCCAGAGGTTTCCATCAGCATGAATAAGGTCCGTGATAATGTCTGTAAACACATTGTAGCATCCAAAGCACACGATAGAGGGATTATGGAACACCAAAGTAAGTGAAAATCTTTCCTTCTTTTATTGTGAATTTCCAACAGGAGAACAAGTACAAAACAAAGTTGCTGCCTTACGCTGCCAGGGAGAATTTGATATCTATTCTTGTCTAAATAAGGCAACTAGGGTCAACATATTCATAAAGAAACTTTCTCACAAAGCAAAAGAGCCAAATCACTGCGAGTAGAGGCTGACACAGAACTGACAGGTTTCAGCCACCTATGTTAGGTATTATTACAAAAGTCCAAAGTCAATTTTTCTTGTTGAGTCACTCCAGTTTTGTAGAATCCTTAGCATAAAATCTCATATTCAAGTCCAAAGAGTTAAGATGTCACCCTCTCTTTTCCTGTCTTTAAAATTGAAAGTGAACTTCTGCTAGCTGCAAACAAAAAGGGATCCAACAAAAACTGTACAGATCTGCTGCTATTAAAAATAGAAAAGAAAAAAAAAAGGAAAAAAATCAAAAGTCATCCCATGTTATATGGAGTACAGAGAGTATTAGCTTCCCTCTTCTTACCGACTACGTATGCGATTACATACTGGATTTTGCCATCACGTTTTTCAACAAGACATAAAAAAATAATCTACTTGTGCAACAACAGAAGAGTTTACAACAACAATACCATTTTCAGAAAATGCTCCATAACTTGACGGTAACATGCCCTTTCAGCAGTTTAGCCATGAGGATGCGACTCGACAGAGCTGTACTTTTTTTCTGCCTAACAAACAAAAACTTCCGCCTGACACGTTTCACCGTGGGGGGGGGCACGCGGGGGCAAAGCCCCCTCCCCACCAGGATGGACCCGGCTTGAAAGCAAAGCTTGCGTGTTCTCAATGTCCCTTTTCCCTTAACAGCCAAAAGACATGAAGGTTTGAAATTAAATCCAACTGTGACGATACTCGGTTTTTTCAGCCCAGGTCAGTTGTTCCCCTTCTCCTGTTTTAAGCATTAACCGAGTTAGAATCAAACCCCCATCGTCTCCATTGGAAATTCAGGACATTTAGAGATTCAGATTAATCTTTCTGGCATTTTCATTACTCATAGTCAGTAACGTTTGAACCGGCCCTCATTTCTACCTGTGTCTTTTTTTTTTTTAGAACAAGTGAAGCAGTACAAAAGACTTTGAATTGCACCTTTAGCTCATTGGAGAGCTATAAGGACTTACATTTGCAGATGAAGATGCACCGTTATCGAGCCAAGAAGGATTAGACAACCATCGGCTTCTTTTAAGACAAAACGGTTCCATGCCGAGACCACTGCTGCATAAACCTTGCTTAAAGGTGAAAACAACTACCTACATATGCTCAGAAAGAAACCCCCCCCCCCCCGCCATTGTTGGACCAACAGCGGGCCAACTGGCCTTCAGAAGTGATCTGCAGAGCCGTGAACTGCTATCCTTCTCGGGTGGGATTCACAGTTTCCATAAAGCCTGTGAGCTTAAGTTTAATCATCCTCAGCAGTCCACAGAAAGTTCCGATTCCTTTTGCAGCTGAGCGCGTCCAGCCCAAATATTTGCAACCGCACCGTGGACTGTGCCAACTACAAATGCAAATGAATCAATCGCAACCCAGAAAGAAAGAAAAATAACTAGAGTAAGAGGATGCCGAGGTAAGGAACAACGTGGATCCCGATCCTAAGGACATAACGCTTATCTCAGTTACACACCCACACGAGGGGCATTTACTGTCTGCAAAAAAAACATTTAAAACAACTTCAAACTCATAAAAAGCGAGTTGGAAGCTGGGTTCTACGACATTGGGCAGATGGATGAAAACGCAGTTTCACATGTACAAAGGGATAATAAAGTTAATCCAAAAATCACTTCTCCACATCAAAAAAAAGGAGGGATGAAATAGAAGGGAGCGGAACTTCATCTCAATAAAATGCACCAGCAAAGCTTTGAAATTTCGGAAACTGGTTTTTCGTTACACTTACAGAATAAAGAGTACATTTATTCGCATTACGAGCAAGCCTGAAGCCTTAAGTTTGTTTAACAAGGATGACAAGTTTGAGCAAAGAATGCTAACACAGCAAAAGCTGTTGTGGTCTGTATCTCCAGACTCCACATTAGGCAACATTGAGAGATAAGATATCCTTTCATGAATCATCAAAAACATAACGGGGAAAAAAAACTTGGTTGAAAACAAAGTTCTTGATAAGAATTTTAATCTAAATTATCTTTGGAATGGTGTCAAAGAGGGGAAAGAAGTTGATTCCACGAGTCAACATCACGCTGACGTCACACCAAGTTTAATTGACAGCTACAGTAATTGAGAACAAAAACACCACAAAGTTTTATAGACACAAATTAAACTCAACTCTTTTTGATTCCGGTGGGTAAAAGTGTGGAAATTGAATGTGCAATAAAACCCTTCAAGTTCTCCATAAATAACCATCTCTAGGAAGATCAGAATCCTTCATTCTGTGGGATAAAGATGCGGAATGGAGACCTCACAGGATCAAACCAAAAACGAGCCAGTCCTCCCTCAGAGACACTCCATGGAATGATGTCACTGCTCAGATATTCCCAATAACCGCAGAAGCCCATTACCACTGAACGCTGGGAATCAGCTACTTTTACTTGGGAATTCTGAGTTTGGGAATTTCTGCTAGGAGCATGGGAATACTCTCGTGCATTTGCACAAATCGGCCTGGAGGTCGCTTTTTTTCTGCGTGGAAAGCGGTTTGTGAGGCCGTTTGCAACACCAGTCCAACACGGCCAAACTCTAGCAGGAGGGTGAGTTAAGTCAACAGTGGCGGCAGGAGCCATACTTACAGGCCCAGAGCCTCCCTATCAAGCCACACAAGCCCCTTCTTTTACCACCAAACACACTTTTTTGTGCATATAACAACGTGTTCACCGAGCCACCTTGTTATCATAAGTTCAAACACACCCGTGTAATCTATTCCACAAAGAAACGGGAATGGACGGAAAGCTGGTTTCCCATCACCGAGGGAAAAAAAAAAAAGGAAAAAAACTTTCCGTCAGGCCCTTTAAACTAGCTCCCAACATCCTCCCACTCCGACGTTTAAATCTTATTTGTCGTTGAGCTCGGGTGGTTCAGCTTTTTTTTAAAAAAAGTCGTTGGCTCTGCTTTCCGTTACAGACGTTCCATTCGGAAAATTCGGGAAACTTCGGTGAATTCGGGCAGACTTCGCCGTTAAAAAGGGTTAATACTGTACAAGCTCCACTTTTCTAACAGCCGCCTGTTGGATGTTTGCTTCCCCCCCCAGTAGAAGCACAAAGAGACTGCGTAGAGTGCAAATCAGTTTTAGCTTAAAACTACAACAAAAAAACACCAACATTTAACTTTTGGAAGTGGCTGAAGACAGTTTTATTCTCTTTCAGCGCGAAAAGTCACAGATAACTTACTTTGCTTTTCACTTCGGCAGACAGTCCGTAAGCTGGTCCCTTATTAAAATGTGTCATTTTCTCGGTTCTACGCGGAATCCCAACCCAGCAAAGAGTCTGTTGATGGGGAAACTCAGACCGAAGCGTGGCTTCTTCAGCCGCTTGCAACGAGGTAAGGAATTCAGGCGGAGAAATCCTGGATGGAGCTGGCTGTGCAGGGTACCGGAGGCTCCACTCTGTGGACAGAAAGCTCGGTTAGAACTATATCTCTTCAAACGCAGCAGTCAAATGATTGACGTGGCAGCAATAACCAATCAAAAGCGGCGCTTTTGCATGGAGTCCCGCCCTCTTTTTGGTGCTCGTCTCAAATGGATGAGAGCAGGCATGGAAATACATAAAAACACGTGAGGAAGAAATAACTTTTACAAGCATTTAAAAGCTATTTGATTTAATATGGACCAGTGTCTGAGGAAAACACATAGCTGATTAGCTTCTCTCCACTTTCAGAAGCCATACTTTTATGCAACTTTTAAAAAACCTTTATTAAAATGGTGTGTTTTTTTCTTTTAAGGAAAGCATGTTGTCCAACTAGTGGTAAATGTAGAATATAAGATAGTCCACTAATTTTTAAAAAGTCCTTTACATCATGGTTTTGGTTGGGAACGAATTTACAGTCGGAAATAAATGTGCATAATCAGTGAAACCAACTGATTCACTGACAGGGATGTCTAACCAAATGACAGAATTAACAGGAAAAATGCCTAAAGATAGTGTGACCTCTGTCATGAAAAAGGGATTTAATTTGGATCTACATTTTTTAAAATCTGTATAATGTTAAAGGATGCTGCTTTCTCAGGGAAAATAAAATGTTTGATTAATTTGTTAAGCTTTGACAACTGTTTTTCAATACCCATGTTCTACTAATAGTTGGAGGGGATACTGGAAATTGCAGCTTTTGTGTAAAAAATGTTTTAAATTAAAGTTTGGTAAGGATTAGGTTTGTTCTGCTTTTGAATAGTGATAGTTTATATTGTTTAACTGCACCTTATGATTACAGAAAGGATTGAAGATTCCAGTTGTATGAAAAAAAACTTAGTAGTTACATTTAGCAATTCACTGCAAACAAAGCTAATGACACTGAACCATCTGGAAAAGTCCAGGGTAGAATAAAGTAATAGCAGTCAGGCAGACATGGAATTATGTGGAATGCCCTACATTTAATAATCAACTGCTTGTACTTTTTTTGGATTGTTCATATATCGTTGATGCACATAGAATATTGTTCTGGTGGTAGAAAACACACAGTTGATCATGCTAGTTTCATTCCTTGTTGCCTTTGGCAAGTGATATTTCCTTTACTCTGACTATAGTTGTAAAACCAGTTGTATCCTCTACAATATGGTGGGTTATGTTTGTTATACGGTGTTCGATTGAGTTTACATGTTCTCTCCGTGTATGTGGGATTTTTATGCACATTCTGGATTCTTCATACCCTCCACAAACGTGAATGTTAGGTATACCGATGACTCTAAACTGTCCGTTGTGTGTTTGTTGTGTCTGTGATGGACTGCTGACCCAAACAGGGCGTATCCCACCTCTCTCCCGGTGACAGGTGGGATGGCCTGAATTACAATCAGCGAGTATAGAGGATGGATTGATGATTATCCAGCCAAGAAGGTGTTAGCTTGGCTAGCCAAGCTGTGGGAAAATTTGCCATAACTCAGGTGACTGGGTGCCTGTCTTTGTTTGTTTTGTTGCTTGTTGTGCTCAAGAGAAAAATGTATTTTGATATTCCTAATTTAATGAAAAGAGGAAACCTATTGAGGGGAGTTCTATTTGACTAGAGCAGCTGATAGGAGGCACCATCGTGCACAATGTGGAATGCAGCTATATTTGAGTCCTTATCACAAAGCCCCTGTAGGTATTTGGTCACGGTGCTCTCTACTAGGCATTCATGGGCCTGATGCGCTGTGTGAAAGCGAGTTGTTCCGTGTCACATCTATACAGTTGGTGTTTCATACATTTTCAGTCTTTAGCATCTGAGAGAACAGACAGGATTAAGTTCAATCATTCAATATTAAATGAGGACACACGCTTACTTCATTACTGCTACACAGTAATCAAACAGGACTTGAGGCTGAGAATAGATATCTGAATTCATTTGAAAGGAATGTTCAGAAGGCTGATTCATGCTTACCAAAAGTTCAGTGACACACATGCTGAAGTCCATTGTTCCCCCGGGGACTGGAACGGTGCTAAAGCCCATATATGCCCAGCACAGAATAAATGCAGAAGTCAATGTCCTCAAGTGGCAGATTCTAGAGATTCGGGTTTGTCTTTTCTTCTTTTGTCTTTCTTTTACATGCTTTTTAATTTAATTTCTATCTTAATTTAGATTTTTCTACGTAAGCTATAAATGATTGTGTTCTCTTAATACTGTTAAATGTTTGTGTTTTCATTGAATATTGCATTGCTGCTCCTCATTACCTATCTATCTATCTATCTATCTATCTATCTATCTATCTATCTATCTA